ATGCTGCAAACATTACGTAAAAGCCAACAACAAACTAGCTACATAGCTCTCCTTGTCGTATCAAAACAGGAAGGAAGGAGAGTCAAGGCACAACTCTCAAAGAGAAGGTTTGAATTTTATACTGATTGGGATTGGCTAAACCCAAACCAATCCATTGGCATCTAGTTGATTCCAGCTCCTAATGGCTCTATAGGGCAGAGGAGAACTGCCCCACACGATGGTGTAAAGAAGACTTAGTTGACATAGTGGATTGCATGTTGGGCTGCTAACCACAAGGTCAGCAGTTCAAAATCATCAGCTGTTCAGCAGGTCAAATTCCTACTCTGAAATTTGTACAGCCTCAGAAACCCACAGGGACAGTTTTTCCTGTCCTATGGAGTCACCATGAGTAAAAATGGACTTAATGGCAGTGGGAGTGAAGTATCTCTCTAGGGAAGCAGACTGGGACACCTTTCTTCCAAGGACTGTCTTCCAATCATCAGTCTTCAACTTAACTGCTGAGCACTTAATCACTGAGCCACCAGGAATATTGGGCCTATCTGGACAGAACTGTAAACTAATGTCAAGCATTATTTAACTAGGGAAACATTTCACTTAAATCTTCGCCAGCTTTCCTATATAATTTCACACCAGAAGGTAGAATCTACCTCAAGGGAATAACATTGGCATTTTCCAGTAAAGCTATAGCAATATTTCCCATAACCAACAACCTAAAACATGTGCACTCCTACTTTATAAGCTACAAAATAAAACCATGCTCAATTTCTGTCAAAAACTCGAATATGGTCAATAACAATCAAGCAAAACTAACTTCAGTGGATCCAATCTAAATCTATACTATTAATTAAGCGGGGGGTAGATCCTCAAAGAACAGACTTCCTAGATAATAATATCATTATCTCTTACATAATTGTTTTTAATGGCATTTCTGGAGGATTGAAAAGATAGCAAACACTTACATTATGGGACACTTTTGTTGTTGTTTTGCTTTTTAAAACAAACAGCCTATTTCAAAATTGTTGTTTGGGGGATGTTTTAT